AGCCACCGCCGCCCTCGCCGCCGCCCCCCAGCCCACCGCCGCCCTCGCCACCGCCGCCACCGTCACTCTCCACCGTCGCCGCTCACCGCCTTCACCACCGCCGTCGCCGCCACCGCCCCCGCCTCCATCCCCGCAGCCGCCGCCGCCGTCCGTGTCAGCCTTCAACTGCACGACGCACCCGAACCCAATGCAAGTCGTCAAGCAAGCCGGCTTCTATAAGCTCGTTGAGCTGGACATCCCGACTGGTGTGTACTCGGATGTCCACACAGTCCAACTCGACACCGCCGTGGACGCGGGTGGTGCGCATCCAAGCTACGCAAACGCCTTCGCCATCAACCCGACCGACGACATCGCGTACGGCAAGTTCACTGATGGCAATACTCAGGACTTCTTCTGCCGCTTCGCCGCCGACCAGATAGCCGAGCCTATGGAGTGCCTCTGCGCCCTGTCGGCCGCGGGGAAGGGGGGCGCTACAGGCTCCGGGGAACTCAACTCGGCGACGATCGTTAACGACATCTACTACGTGGGGATGGGCACGAAGAACCTGCGGACGATCCCGAGCGTGAGTACCTGCTTTGCGAACACCAGCTGCTTTGCGCCGGGCGTGCCGTCACCTTTCACTCAGTGCCCCGGAGCTTGGATCTTCGGAAACCGGGCCGACGGCTTCGGAGGCAGCCTCGACATCGCACTCGATACCATCGATTTTGACGTCAGCGCACTCGACCTGAACATCGCCTCGCTCACCGCCCAGTTTGGCTGGAACGAGCTGGACTACTCCACCAACTCGCGCTACTTGAGGAACAACTTGTACACGTACGACTCGGCCACGGACAGCGTCTCCACCTTTCGGCCGTGCTGCGGCAACGGCAACATGTACCTTGACATCAACCCGTACACTTTCGGGGGCACGACGTATCTGATCGGCCTGGCCACAGAGGACGGCAATGCCCTCATCGTCAAGCTCAGCCCGTCGGGCACCTCGGTCGACGGCTACGCGTACGCGCGCTCTCGCTTCGAGTGGAACGGCGCCAACTACAAGGCCAACGCGAGCAACGACAACTCACGGGGCTTCAAGGGCTTCGGTGCGGCATTTCAGTACGGCGACGACATGTACTACGCCGCCAACGGCGGGACGGGCGTCTTCAAGATGAACCGGCCCGTGCTGGAGGAGATGCTTGTCGCATGTGACTTCACGGCTGGTCACCAGTGCGGCATCACCAACGGGGACATGCTCACGCTCCAGCGCGTCGCCGCCTCCGCTGGCACCAACAGCAGCGATGGGCTGAACTGCGTAAATGTGGTGGACCCATTGCCGGAACTCCCGCCTGCTCCACCAACCACGCCACCGCCGCCGTCGCCGCCGCCCGCGCCGCCATCTCCGCCGGCGTGCGTGGTCAAGCTCGAGCTGGTGCTTGTGCTGGACAAGAGCGGGTCGGTGCGGGCGGAGCAGTCGTCGCTGCTCGCCTTCGCGCGCGAGATGGTGTCCCAGTTCCGCCTCGACGCGACCGAGGGCGCCCGAGTCGGCGTCGTCGAGTTCTCGAGCGACGCGGCGACGCTCACGCCGCTGACCGGCTCTCTGAGCGACGTGCTGACCGCGATCGACGGCGCGTCTGCGGCGGGCGGCGGCACGTCCGTGTCGGACGGCCTCGAGCTCGGGCGAGCCGAGGTGAACCGGGGCGCGCGCGCCGACGTGCCTCGCACGATCCTGCTGCTGACGGACGGCGTGCAGACGGTGGACGGCAACGACGACACGGCCATCGCGAAGGCGGCGGCGGTGAAGCAGGAGGGCGTCTCGATCGTCGCGGTCGGGTTTGGCGGCGCGAACGAGCAGACGATGCGCGCGATCGCGTCGGCGCCCAGCTCCGACTTCGCCTTCTTCGGCGCGTCGATGGACGAGGTGCGGCAGCACTTTGCGTCGGACCGGCTCTGCGAGCTGGCCGCGTCCCCGAAGGCGCCGCCGCCGCCTCCGTCGACGCCCGCGCCGCCGGGGCTGCCGCCCTCGCCGCCGTCGCCGTCGCCCGCGCCGCCGTCTCCGCCGGCGTGCGTGGTCAAGCTCGAGCTGGTGCTTGTGCTGGACAAGAGCGGGTCGGTGCGGGCGGAGCAGTCGTCGCTGCTCGCCTTCGCGCGCGAGATGGTGTCCCAGTTCCGCCTCGACGCGACCGAGGGCGCCCGAGTCGGCGTCGTCGAGTTCTCGAGCGACGCGGCGACGCTCACGCCGCTGACCGGCTCTCTGAGCGACGTGCTGGCCGCGATCGACGGCGCGTCTGCGGCGGGCGGCGGCACGTCCGTGTCGGACGGCCTCGAGCTCGGGCGAGCCGAGGTGAACCGGGGCGCGCGCGCCGACGTGCCTCGCACGATCCTGCTGCTGACGGACGGCGTGCAGACGGTGGACGGCAACGACGACACGGCCATCGCGAAGGCGGCGGCGGTGAAGCAGGACGGCGTCTCGATCGTCGCGGTCGGGTTTGGCGGCGCGAACGAGCAGACGATGCGCGCGATCGCGTCGGCGCCCAGCTCCGACTTCGCCTTCTTCGGCGCGTCGATGGACGAGGTGCGGCAGCACTTTGCGTCGGACCGGCTCTGCGAGCTGGCCGCGTCCCCGAAGGCGCCGCCGCCGCCTCCGTCGACGCCCGCGCCGCCGGGGCTGCCTCCCTCGCCGCCGTCGCCGTCGCCCGCGCCGCCGTCTCCGCCGGCGTGCGTGGTCAAGCTCGAGCTGGTGCTTGTGCTGGACAAGAGCGGGTCGGTGCGGGCGGAGCAGTCGTCGCTGCTCGCCTTCGCGCGCGAGATGGTGTCCCAGTTCCGCCTCGACGCGACCGAGGGCGCCCGAGTCGGCGTCGTCGAGTTCTCGAGCGACGCGGCGACGCTCACGCCGCTGACCGGCTCTCTGAGCGACGTGCTGACCGCGATCGACGGCGCGTCTGCGGCGGGCGGCGGCACGTCCGTGTCGGACGGCCTGGAGCTCGGGCGAGCCGAGGTGAGCCGGGGCGCACGCGCCGACGTGCCTCGCACGATCCTGCTGCTGACGGACGGCGTGCAGACGGTGGACGGCAACGACGACACGGCCATCGCGAAGGCGGCGGCGGTGAAGCAGGACGGCATCTCGATCGTCGCGGTCGGGTTTGGCGGCGCGAACGAGCAGACGATGCGCGCGATCGCGTCGGCGCCCAGCTCCGACTTCGCCTTCTTCGGCGCGTCGATGGACGAGGTGCGGCAGCACTTTGCGTCGGACCGGCTCTGCGAGCTGGCCGCGTCCCCGAAGGCGCCGCCGCCGCCTCCGTCGACGCCCGCGCCGCCGGGGCTGCCGCCGTCGCCGCCGTCGCCGCCGCCCGCGCCGCCGTCTCCGCCGGCGTGCGTGGTCAAGCTCGAGCTGGTGCTTGTGCTGGACAAGAGCGGGTCGGTGCGGGCGGAGCAGTCGTCGCTGCTCGCCTTCGCGCGCGAGATGGTGTCCCAGTTCCGCCTCGACGCGACCGAGGGCGCCCGAGTCGGCGTCGTCGAGTTCTCGAGCGACGCGGCGACGCTCACGCCGCTGACCGGCTCTCTGAGCGACGTGCTGACCGCGATCGACGGCGCGTCTGCGGCGGGCGGCGGCACGTCCGTGTCGGACGGCCTCGAGCTCGGGCGAGCCGAGGTGAACCGGGGCGCGCGCGCCGACGTGCCTCGCACGATCCTGCTGCTGACGGACGGCGTGCAGACGGTGGACGGCAACGACGACACGGCCATCGCGAAGGCGGCGGCGGTGAAGCAGGACGGCGTCTCGATCGTCGCGGTCGGGTTTGGCGGCGCGAACGAGCAGACGATGCGCGCGATCGCGTCGGCGCCCAGCTCCGACTTCGCCTTCTTCGGCGCGTCGATGGACGAGGTGCGGCAGCACTTTGCGTCGGACCGGCTCTGCGAGCTGGCCGCGTCCCCGAAGGCGCCGCCGCCGCCTCCGTCGACGCCCGCGCCGCCAGGGCTGCCGCCCTCGCCGCCGTCGCCGTCGCCCGCGCCGCCGTCTCCGCCGGCGTGCGTGGTCAAGCTCGAGCTGGTGCTTGTGCTGGACAAGAGCGGGTCGGTGCGGGCGGAGCAGTCGTCGCTGCTCGCCTTCGCGCGCGAGATGGTGTCCCAGTTCCGCCTCGACGCGACCGAGGGCGCCCGAGTCGGCGTCGTCGAGTTCTCGAGCGACGCGGCGACGCTCACGCCGCTGACCGGCTCTCTGAGCGACGTGCTGACCGCGATCGACGGCGCGTCTGCGGCGGGCGGCGGCACGTCCGTGTCGGACGGCCTGGAGCTCGGGCGAGCCGAGGTGAGCCGGGGCGCGCGCGCCGACGTGCCTCGCACGATCCTGCTGCTGACGGACGGCGTGCAGACGGTGGACGGCAACGACGACACGGCCATCGCGAAGGCGGCGGCGGTGAAGCAGGAGGGCGTCTCGATCGTCGCGGTCGGGTTTGGCGGCGCGAACGAGCAGACGATGCGCGCGATCGCGTCGGCGCCCAGCTCCGACTTCGCCTTCTTCGGCGCGTCGATGGACGAGGTGCGGCAGCACTTTGCGTCGGACCGGCTCTGCGAGCTGGCCGCGTCCCCGAAGGCGCCGCCGCCGCCTCCGTCGACGCCCGCGCCGCCAGGGCTGCCGCCGTCGCCGCCGTCGCCGTCGCCCGCGCCGCCGTCTCCGCCGGCGTGCGTGGTCAAGCTCGAGCTGGTGCTTGTGCTGGACAAGAGCGGGTCGGTGCGGGCGGAGCAGTCGTCGCTGCTCGCCTTCGCGCGCGAGATGGTGTCCCAGTTCCGCCTCGACGCGACCGAGGGCGCCCGAGTCGGCGTCGTCGAGTTCTCGAGCGACGCGGCGACGCTCACGCCGCTGACCGGCTCTCTGAGCGACGTGCTGACCGCGATCGACGGCGCGTCTGCGGCGGGCGGCGGCACGTCCGTGTCGGACGGCCTCGAGCTCGGGCGAGCCGAGGTGAACCGGGGCGCGCGCGCCGACGTGCCTCGCACGATCCTGCTGCTGACGGACGGCGTGCAGACGGTGGACGGCAACGACGACACGGCCATCGCGAAGGCGGCGGCGGTGAAGCAGGACGGCGTCTCGATCGTCGCGGTCGGGTTTGGCGGCGCGAACGAGCAGACGATGCGCGCGATCGCGTCGGCGCCCAGCTCCGACTTCGCCTTCTTCGGCGCGTCGATGGACGAGGTGCGGCAGCACTTTGCGTCGGACCGGCTCTGCGAGCTGGCCGCGTCCCCGAAGGCGCCGCCGCCGCCTCCGTCGACGCCCGCGCCGCCGGGGCTGCCGCCGTCGCCGCCGTCGCCGTCGCCCGCGCCGCCGTCTCCGCCGGCGTGCGTGGTCAAGCTCGAGCTGGTGCTTGTGCTGGACAAGAGCGGGTCGGTGCGGGCGGAGCAGTCGTCGCTGCTCGCCTTCGCGCGCGAGATGGTGTCCCAGTTCCGCCTCGACGCGACCGAGGGCGCCCGAGTCGGCGTCGTCGAGTTCTCGAGCGACGCGGCGACGCTCACGCCGCTGACCGGCTCTCTGAGCGACGTGCTGACCGCGATCGACGGCGCGTCTGCGGCGGGCGGCGGCACGTCCGTGTCGGACGGCCTCGAGCTCGGGCGAGCCGAGGTGAGCCGGGGCGCGCGCGCCGACGTGCCTCGCACGATCCTGCTGCTGACGGACGGCGTGCAGACGGTGGACGGCAACGACGACACGGCCATCGCGAAGGCGGCGGCGGTGAAGCAGGAGGGCGTCTCGATCGTCGCGGTCGGGTTTGGCGGCGCGAACGAGCAGACGATGCGCGCGATCGCGTCGGCGCCCAGCTCCGACTTCGCCTTCTTCGGCGCGTCGATGGACGAGGTGCGGCAGCACTTTGCGTCGGACCGGCTCTGCGAGCTGGCCGCGTCCCCGAAGGCGCCGCCGCCGCCTCCGTCGACGCCCGCGCCGCCGGGGCTGCCGCCCTCGCCGCCGTCGCCGTCGCCCGCGCCGCCGTCTCCGCCGGCGTGCGTGGTCAAGCTCGAGCTGGTGCTTGTGCTGGACAAGAGCGGGTCGGTGCGGGCGGAGCAGTCGTCGCTGCTCGCCTTCGCGCGCGAGATGGTGTCCCAGTTCCGCCTCGACGCGACCGAGGGCGCCCGAGTCGGCGTCGTCGAGTTCTCGAGCGACGCGGCGACGCTCACGCCGCTGACCGGCTCTCTGAGCGACGTGCTGACCGCGATCGACGGCGCGTCTGCGGCGGGCGGCGGCACGTCCGTGTCGGACGGCCTCGAGCTCGGGCGAGCCGAGGTGAACCGGGGCGCGCGCGCCGACGTGCCTCGCACGATCCTGCTGCTGACGGACGGCGTGCAGACGGTGGACGGCAACGACGACACGGCCATCGCGAAGGCGGCGGCGGTGAAGCAGGACGGCGTCTCGATCGTCGCGGTCGGGTTTGGCGGCGCGAACGAGCAGACGATGCGCGCGATCGCGTCGGCGCCCAGCTCCGACTTCGCCTTCTTCGGCGCGTCGATGGACGAGGTGCGGCAGCACTTTGCGTCGGACCGGCTCTGCGAGCTGGCCGCGTCCCCGAAGGCGCCGCCGCCGCCTCCGTCGACGCCCGCGCCGCCGGGGCTGCCTCCCTCGCCGCCGTCGCCGTCGCCCGCGCCGCCGTCTCCGCCGGCGTGCGTGGTCAAGCTCGAGCTGGTGCTTGTGCTGGACAAGAGCGGGTCGGTGCGGGCGGAGCAGTCGTCGCTGCTCGCCTTCGCGCGCGAGATGGTGTCCCAGTTCCGCCTCGACGCGACCGAGGGCGCCCGAGTCGGCGTCGTCGAGTTCTCGAGCGACGCGGCGACGCTCACGCCGCTGACCGGCTCTCTGAGCGACGTGCTGACCGCGATCGACGGCGCGTCTGCGGCGGGCGGCGGCACGTCCGTGTCGGACGGCCTCGAGCTCGGGCGAGCCGAGGTGAACCGGGGCGCGCGCGCCGACGTGCCTCGCACGATCCTGCTGCTGACGGACGGCGTGCAGACGGTGGACGGCAACGACGACACGGCCATCGCGAAGGCGGCGGTGGTGAAGCAGGACGGCGTCTCGATCGTCGCGGTCGGGTTTGGCGGCGCGAACGAGCAGACGATGCGCGCGATCGCGTCGGCGCCCAGCTCCGACTTCGCCTTCTTCGGCGCGTCGATGGACGAGGTGCGGCAGCACTTTGCGTCGGACCGGCTCTGCGAGCTGGCCGCGTCCCCGAAGGCGCCGCCGCCGCCTCCGTCGACGCCCGCGCCGCCAGGGCTGCCGCCCTCGCCGCCGTCGCCGTCGCCCGCGCCGCCGTCTCCGCCGGCGTGCGTGGTCAAGCTCGAGCTGGTGCTTGTGCTGGACAAGAGCGGGTCGGTGCGGGCGGAGCAGTCGTCGCTGCTCGCCTTCGCGCGCGAGATGGTGTCCCAGTTCCGCCTCGACGCGACCGAGGGCGCCCGAGTCGGCGTCGTCGAGTTCTCGAGCGACGCGGCGACGCTCACGCCGCTGACCGGCTCTCTGAGCGACGTGCTGACCGCGATCGACGGCGCGTCTGCGGCGGGCGGCGGCACGTCCGTGTCGGACGGCCTCGAGCTCGGGCGAGCCGAGGTGAACCGGGGCGCGCGCGCCGACGTGCCTCGCACGATCCTGCTGCTGACGGACGGCGTGCAGACGGTGGACGGCAACGACGACACGGCCATCGCGAAGGCGGCGGCGGTGAAGCAGGACGGCGTCTCGATCGTCGCGGTCGGGTTTGGCGGCGCGAACGAGCAGACGATGCGCGCGATCGCGTCGGCGCCCAGCTCCGACTTCGCCTTCTTCGGCGCGTCGATGGACGAGGTGCGGCAGCACTTTGCGTCGGACCGGCTCTGCGAGCTGGCCGCGTCCCCGAAGGCGCCGCCGCCGCCTCCGTCGACGCCCGCGCCGCCGGGGCTGCCTCCCTCGCCGCCGTCGCCGTCGCCCGCGCCGCCGTCTCCGCCGGCGTGCGTGGTCAAGCTCGAGCTGGTGCTTGTGCTGGACAAGAGCGGGTCGGTGCGGGCGGAGCAGTCGTCGCTGCTCGCCTTCGCGCGCGAGATGGTGTCCCAGTTCCGCCTCGACGCGACCGAGGGCGCCCGAGTCGGCGTCGTCGAGTTCTCGAGCGACGCGGCGACGCTCACGCCGCTGATCGGCTCTCTGAGCGACGTGCTGACCGCGATCGACGGCGCGTCTGCGGCGGGCGGCGGCACGTCCGTGTCGGACGGCCTCGAGCTCGGGCGAGCCGAGGTGAACCGGGGCGCGCGCGCCGACGTGCCTCGCACGATCCTGCTGCTGACGGACGGCGTGCAGACGGTGGACGGCAACGACGACACGGCCATCGCGAAGGCGGCGGCGGTGAAGCAGGACGGCGTCTCGATCGTCGCGGTCGGGTTTGGCGGCGCGAACGAGCAGACGATGCGCGCGATCGCGTCGGCGCCCAGCTCCGACTTCGCCTTCTTCGGCGCGTCGATGGACGAGGTGCGGCAGCACTTTGCGTCGGACCGGCTCTGCGAGCTGGCCGCGTCCCCGAAGGCGCCGCCGCCGCCTCCGTCGACGCCCGCGCCGCCGGGGCTGCCGCCCTCGCCGCCGTCGCCGTCGCCCGCGCCGCCGTCTCCGCCGGCGTGCGTGGTCAAGCTCGAGCTGGTGCTTGTGCTGGACAAGAGCGGGTCGGTGCGGGCGGAGCAGTCGTCGCTGCTCGCCTTCGCGCGCGAGATGGTGTCCCAGTTCCGCCTCGACGCGACCGAGGGCGCCCGAGTCGGCGTCGTCGAGTTCTCGAGCGACGCGGCGACGCTCACGCCGCTGACCGGCTCTCTGAGCGACGTGCTGACCGCGATCGACGGCGCGTCTGCGTCGGGCGGCGGCACGTCCGTGTCGGACGGCCTCGAGCTCGGGCGAGCCGAGGTGAACCGGGGCGCGCGCGCCGACGTGCCTCGCACGATCCTGCTGCTGACGGACGGCGTGCAGACGGTGGACGGCAACGACGACACGGCCATCGCGAAGGCGGCGGCGGTGAAGCAGGAGGGCGTCTCGATCGTCGCGGTCGGGTTTGGCGGCGCGAACGAGCAGACGATGCGCGCGATCGCGTCGGCGCCCAGCTCCGACTTCGCCTTCTTCGGCGCGTCGATGGACGAGGTGCGGCAGCACTTTGCGTCGGACCGGCTCTGCGAGCTGGCCGCGTCCCCGAAGGCGCCGCCGCCGCCTCCGTCGACGCCCGCGCCGCCGGGGCTGCCGCCCTCGCCGCCGTCGCCGTCGCCCGCGCCGCCGTCTCCGCCGGCGTGCGTGGTCAAGCTCGAGCTGGTGCTTGTGCTGGACAAGAGCGGGTCGGTGCGGGCGGAGCAGTCGTCGCTGCTCGCCTTCGCGCGCGAGATGGTGTCCCAGTTCCGCCTCGACGCGACCGAGGGCGCCCGAGTCGGCGTCGTCGAGTTCTCGAGCGACGCGGCGACGCTCACGCCGCTGACCGGCTCTCTGAGCGACGTGCTGACCGCGATCGACGGCGCGTCTGCGGCGGGCGGCGGCACGTCCGTGTCGGACGGCCTCGAGCTCGGGCGAGCCGAGGTGAACCGGGGCGCGCGCGCCGACGTGCCTCGCACGATCCTGCTGCTGACGGACGGCGTGCAGACGGTGGACGGCAACGACGACACGGCCATCGCGAAGGCGGCGGCGGTGAAGCAGGACGGCGTCTCGATCGTCGCGGTCGGGTTTGGCGGCGCGAACGAGCAGACGATGCGCGCGATCGCGTCGGCGCCCAGCTCCGACTTCGCCTTCTTCGGCGCGTCGATGGACGAGGTGCGGCAGCACTTTGCGTCGGACCGGCTCTGCGAGCTGGCCGCGTCCCCGAAGGCGCCGCCGCCGCCTCCGTCGACGCCCGCGCCGCCGGGGCTGCCGCCCTCGCCGCCGTCGCCGTCGCCCGCGCCGCCGTCTCCGCCGGCGTGCGTGGTCAAGCTCGAGCTGGTGCTTGTGTTGGACAAGAGCGGGTCGGTGCGGGCGGAGCAGTCGTCGCTGCTCGCCTTCGCGCGCGAGATGGTGTCCCAGTTCCGCCTCGACGCGACCGAGGGCGCCCGAGTCGGCGTCGTCGAGTTCTCGAGCGACGCGGCGACGCTCACGCCGCTGACCGGCTCTCTGAGCGACGTGCTGACCGCGATCGACGGCGCGTCTGCGGCGGGCGGCGGCACGTCCGTGTCGGACGGCCTCGAGCTCGGGCGAGCCGAGGTGAACCGGGGCGCGCGCGCCGACGTGCCTCGCACGATCCTGCTGCTGACGGACGGCGTGCAGACGGTGGACGGCAACGACGACACGGCCATCGCGAAGGCGGCGGCGGTGAAGCAGGACGGCGTCTCGATCGTCGCGGTCGGGTTTGGCGGCGCGAACGAGCAGACGATGCGCGCGATCGCGTCGGCGCCCAGCTCCGACTTCGCCTTCTTCGGCGCGTCGATGGACGAGGTGCGGCAGCACTTTGCGTCGGACCGGCTCTGCGAGCTGGCCGCGTCCCCGAAGGCGCCGCCGCCGCCTCCGTCGACGCCCGCGCCGCCGGGGCTGCCGCCCTCGCCGCCGTCGCCGTCGCCCGCGCCGCCGTCTCCGCCGGCGTGCGAGGTCAAGCTCGAGCTGGTGCTTGTGCTGGACAAGAGCGGGTCGGTGCGGGCGGAGCAGTCGTCGCTGCTCGCCTTCGCGCGCGAGATGGTGTCCCAGTTCCGCCTCGACGCGACCGAGGGCGCCCGAGTCGGCGTCGTCGAGTTCTCGAGCGACGCGGCGACGCTCACGCCGCTGACCGGCTCTCTGAGCGACGTGCTGACCGCGATCGACGGCGCGTCTGCGGCGGGCGGCGGCACGTCCGTGTCGGACGGCCTCGAGCTCGGGCGAGCCGAGGTGAACCGGGGCGCGCGCGCCGACGTGCCTCGCACGATCCTGCTGCTGACGGACGGCGTGCAGACGGTGGACGGCAACGACGACACGGCCATCGCGAAGGCGGCGGCGGTGAAGCAGGACGGCGTCTCGATCGTCGCGGTCGGGTTTGGCGGTGCGAACGAGCAGACGATGCGCGCGATCGCGTCGGCGCCCAGCTCCGACTTCGCCTTCTTCGGCGCGTCGATGGACGAGGTGCGGCAGCACTTTGCGTCGGACCGGCTCTGCGAGCTGGCCGCGTCCCCGAAGGCGCCACCGCCGCCTCCGTCGACGCCCGCGCCGCCAGGGCTGCCGCCGTCGCCGCCGTCGCCGTCGCCCGCGCCGCCGTCTCCGCCGGCATGCGAGGTCAAGCTCGAGCTGGTGCTTGTGCTGGACAAGAGCGGGTCGGTGCGGGCGGAGCAGTCGTCGCTGCTCGCCTTCGCGCGCGAGATGGTGTCCCAGTTCCGCCTCGACGCGACCGAGGGCGCCCGAGTCGGCGTCGTCGAGTTCTCGAGCGACGCGGCGACGCTCACGCCGCTGACCGGCTCTCTGAGCGACGTGCTGACCGCGATCGACGGCGCGTCTGCGGCGGGCGGCGGCACGTCCGTGTCGGACGGCCTCGAGCTCGGGCGAGCCGAGGTGAACCGGGGCGCGCGCGCCGACGTGCCTCGCACGATCCTGCTGCTGACGGACGGCGTGCAGACGGTGGACGGCAACGACGACACGGCCATCGCGAAGGCGGCGGCGGTGAAGCAGGACGGCGTCTCGATCGTCGCGGTCGGGTTTGGCGGCGCGAACGAGCAGACGATGCGCGCGATCGCGTCGGCGCCCAGCTCCGACTTTGCCTTTTTCGGCGCGTCGATGGACGAGGTGCGGCAGCACTTTGCGTCGGACCGGCTCTGCGAGCTGGCCGCGTCCCCGAAGGCGCCGCCGCCGCCTCCGTCGACGCCCGCGCCGCCGGGGCTGCCGCCCTCGCCGCCGTCGCCGTCGCCCGCGCCGCCGTCTCCGCCGGCGTGCGTGGTCAAGCTCGAGCTGGTGCTTGTGCTGGACAAGAGCGGGTCGGTGCGGGCGGAGCAGTCGTCGCTGCTCGCCTTCGCGCGCGAGATGGTGTCCCAGTTCCGCCTCGACGCGACCGAGGGCGCCCGAGTCGGCGTCGTCGAGTTCTCGAGCGACGCGGCGACGCTCACGCCGCTGACCGGCTCTCTGAGCGACGTGCTGACCGCGATCGACGGCGCGTCTGCGGCAGGCGGCGGCACGTCCGTGTCGGACGGCCTGGAGCTCGGGCGAGCCGAGGTGAACCGGGGCGCGCGCGCCGACGTGCCTCGCACGATCGTGCTGCTGACGGACGGCGTGCAGACGGTGGACGGCAACGACGACACGGCCATCGCGAAGGCGGCGGCGGTGAAGCAGGACGGCGTCTCGATCGTCGCGGTCGGGTTTGGCGGCGCGAACGAGCAGACGATGCGCGCGATCGCGTCGGCGCCCAGCTCCGACTTCGCCTTCTTCGGCGCGTCGATGGACGAGGTGCGGCAGCACTTTGCGTCGGACCGGCTCTGCGAGCTGGCCGCGTCCCCGAAGGCGCCGCCGCCGCCTCCGTCGACGCCCGCGCCGCCAGGGCTGCCGCCGTCGCCGCCGTCGCCGTCGCCCGCGCCGCCGTCTCCGCCGGCGTGCGAGGTCAAGCTCGAGCTGGTGCTTGTGTTGGACAAGAGCGGGTCGGTGCGGGCGGAGCAGTCGTCGCTGCTCGCCTTCGCGCGCGAGATGGTGTCCCAGTTCCGCCTCGACGCGACCGAGGGCGCCCGAGTCGGCGTCGTCGAGTTCTCGAGCGACGCGGCGACGCTCACGCCGCTGACCGGCTCTCTGAGCGACGTGCTGACCGCGATCGACGGCGCGTCTGCGGCGGGCGGCGGCACGTCCGTGTCGGACGGCCTGGAGCTCGGGCGAGCCGAGGTGAACCGGGGCGCGCGCGCCGACGTGCCTCGCACGATCCTGCTGCTGACGGACGGCGTGCAGACGGTGGACGGCAACGACGACACGGCCATCGCGAAGGCGGCGGTGGTGAAGCAGGACGGCGTCTCGATCGTCGCGGTCGGGTTTGGCGGCGCGAACGAGCAGACGATGCGCGCGATCGCGTCGGCGCCCAGCTCCGACTTCGCCTTCTTCGGCGCGTCGATGGACGAGGTGCGGCAGCACTTTGCGTCGGACCGGCTCTGCGAGCTGGCCGCGTCCCCGAAGGCGCCGCCGCCGCCTCCGTCGACGCCCGCGCCGCCAGGGCTGCCGCCGTCGCCGCCGTCGCCGTCGCCCGCGCCGCCGTCTCCGCCGGCGTGCGAGGTCAAGCTCGAGCTGGTGCTTGTGTTGGACAAGAGCGGGTCGGTGCGGGCGGAGCAGTCGTCGCTGCTCGCCTTCGCGCGCGAGATGGTGTCCCAGTTCCGCCTCGACGCGACCGAGGGCGCCCGTGTCGGCATCGTCGAGTTCTCGAGCGACGCGGCGACGCTCACGCCGCTGACCGGCTCTCTGAGCGACGTGCTGACCGCGATCGACGGCGCGTCTGCGGCAGGGGGCGGCACGTCCGTGTCGGACGGCCTGGAGCTCGGGCGAGTCGAGGTGAACCAGGGCGCGCGCGCCGACGTGCCTCGCACGATCCTGCTGCTGACGGACGGCGTGCAGACGGTGGACGGCAACGACGACACGGCCATCGCGAAGGCGGCGGCGGTGAAGCAGGACGGCGTCTCGATCGTCGCGGTCGGGTTTGGCGGCGCGAACGAGCAGACGATGCGCGCGATCGCGTCGGCGCCCAGCTCCGACTTCGCCTTCTTCGGCGCGTCGATGGACGAGGTGCGGCAGCACTTTGCGTCGGACCGGCTCTGCGAGCTGGCCGCGTCCCCGAAGGCGCCGCCGCCGCCTCCGTCGACGCCCGCGCCGCCGGGGCTGCCGCCGTCGCCGCCGTCGCCGTCGCCCGCGCCGCCGTCTCCGCCGGCGTGCGTGGTCAAGCTCGAGCTGGTGCTTGTGCTGGACAAGAGCGGGTCGGTGCGGGCGGAGCAGTCGTCGCTGCTCGCCTTCGCGCGCGAGATGGTGTCCCAGTTCCGCCTCGACGCGACCGAGGGCGCCCGAGTCGGCGTCGTCGAGTTCTCGAGCGACGCGGCGACGCTCACGCCGCTGACCGGCTCTCTGAGCGACGTGCTGACCGCGATCGACGGCGCGTCTGCGGCGGGCGGCGGCACGTCCGTGTCGGACGGCCTCGAGCTCGGGCGAGCCGAGGTGAGCCGGGGCGCGCGCGCCGACGTGCCTCGCACGATCCTGCTGCTGACGGACGGCGTGCAGACGGTGGACGGCAACGACGACACGGCCATCGCGAAGGCGGCGGCGGTGAAGCAGGAGGGCGTCTCGATCGTCGCGGTCGGGTTTGGCGGCGCGAACGAGCAGACGATGCGCGCGATCGCGTCGGCGCCCAGCTCCGACTTCGCCTTCTTCGGCGCGTCGATGGACGAGGTGCGGCAGCACTTTGCGTCGGACCGGCTCTGCGAGCTGGCCGCGTCCCCGAAGGCGCCGCCGCCGCCTCCGTCGACGCCCGCGCCGCCGGGGCTGCCGCCCTCGCCGCCGTCGCCGTCGCCCGCGCCGCCGTCTCCGCCGGCGTGCGTGGTCAAGCTCGAGCTGGTGCTTGTGCTGGACAAGAGCGGGTCGGTGCGGGCGGAGCAGTCGTCGCTGCTCGCCTTCGCGCGCGAGATGGTGTCCCAGTTCCGCCTCGACGCGACCGAGGGCGCCCGAGTCGGCGTCGTCGAGTTCTCGAGCGACGCGGCGACGCTCACGCCGCTGACCGGCTCTCTGAGCGACGTGCTGACCGCGATCGACGGCGCGTCTGCGGCGGGCGGCGGCACGTCCGTGTCGGACGGCCTGGAGCTCGGGCGAGCCGAGGTGAACCGGGGCGCGCGCGCCGACGTGCCTCGCACGATCCTGCTGCTGACGGACGGCGTGCAGACGGTGGACGGCAACGACGACACGGCCATCGCGAAGGCGGCGGCGGTGAAGCAGGACGGCGTCTCGATCGTCGCGGTCGGGTTTGGCGGCGCGAACGAGCAGACGATGCGCGCGATCGCGTCGGCGCCCAGCTCCGACTTCGCCTTCTTCGGCGCGTCGATGGACGAGGTGCGGCAGCACTTTGCGTCGGACCGGCTCTGCGAGCTGGCCGCGTCCCCGAAGGCGCCGCCGCCGCCTCCGTCGACGCCCGCGCCGCCGGGGCTGCCGCCCTCGCCGCCGTCGCCGTCGCCCGCGCCGCCGTCTCCGCCGGCGTGCGAGGTCAAGCTCGAGCTGGTGCTTGTGCTGGACAAGAGCGGGTCGGTGCGGGCGGAGCAGTCGTCGCTGCTCGCCTTCGCGCGCGAGATGGTGTCCCAGTTCCGCCTCGACGCGACCGAGGGCGCCCGAGTCGGCGTCGTCGAGTTCTCGAGCGACGCGGCGACGCTCACGCCGCTGACCGGCTCTCTGAGCGACGTGCTGACCGCGATCGACGGCGCGTCTGCGGCGGGCGGCGGCACGTCCGTGTCGGACGGCCTCGAGCTCGGGCGAGCCGAGGTGAGCCGGGGCGCGCGCGCCGACGTGCCTCGCACGATCCTGCTGCTGACGGACGGCGTGCAGACGGTGGACGGCAACGACGACACGGCCATCGCGAAGGCGGCGGCGGTGAACCCGGACGGCGTCTCGATCGTCGCGGTCGGGTTTGGCGGCGCGAACGAGCAGACGATGCGCGCGATCGCGTCGGCGCCCAGCTCCGACTTCGCCTTCTTCGGCGCGTCGATGGACGAGGTGCGGCAGCACTTTGCGTCGGACCGGCTCTGCGAGCTGGCCGCGTCCCCGAAGGCGCCGCCGCCGCCTCCGTCGACGCCCGCGCCGCCAGGGCTGCCGCCCTCGCCGCCGTCGCCGTCGCCCGCGCCGCCGTCTTCGCCGGCGTGCGTGGTCAAGCTCGAGCTGGTGCTTGTGCTGGACAAGAGCGGGTCGGTGCGGGCGGAGCAGTCGTCGCTGCTCGCCTTCGCGCGCGAGATGGTGTCCCAGTTCCGCCTCGACGCGACCGAGGGCGCCCGAGTCGGCGTCGTCGAGTTCTCGAGCGACGCGGCGACGCTCACGCCGCTGACCGGCTCTCTGAGCGACGTGCTGACCGCGATCGACGGCGCGTCTGCGGCGGGCGGCGGCACGTCCGTGTCGGACGGCCTCGAGCTCGGGCGAGCCGAGGTGAGCCGGGGCGCGCGCGCCGACGTGCCTCGCACGATCCTGCTGCTGACGGACGGCGTGCAGACGGT